AGGTGTCGAAAATTCTTATAATTAAATGTATATTGTTATAATACTATAATATGACATTATAACATGTCTTGAAATCTACTAACGCTTTACAATAGGTAGAGTAAATTAGTAAATGACAGAATATGTATGTTATATTAGGTAATAGGTACCTATATACTCTATTAAGAATTATTGTGGTAATCTGTTTGTGGATGAGATTAATCCCACATAGGTCAAATCTAAAGTTTATCGATAGAGAATTGTATRCAGATTCCAWTTACATGGTCGGTGTAACGAATCTTTAGATTACTTTTAAAAAGCATATTAAACAAAACCAAAAAATCATACAAATACAAAATTCGCTTAATCAATAATCATAGATTAAAAATTATGAAAATTATGATAACGAATTATTATTTAGAATAACCATGATTAAGGTTGTAGATGATTAGCACTAAAGATGTCAGCAAAAAATTGAAATTGAAATTGGAATGGGAATTTTTATATTTCTAAGTTGGTACACCTAAAAAAAATATTAATTTCGGATAAAATATTTTTYGTCRAGAATACGTTTCGGGTAAAATATTTTTCAGAAAAAAAAACGTTTCGGTTGAAATATTTTCGGCTTACTTATTTCCGTGTAATATATTTTCTGATAAAATATTTTTCGTGTATTTTACTTTCGTTTTTAATAATTTTCAGATAAAATATTTTTCGAAAGAAAAACGTTTCGGTTGAAATATTTTCGATTAAAAAATTTTCGTCTTTCTTATTTTCGTGTACAATATTTTCTGGTAAAATATTTTTCGTGTATCTTACTTTCGTATTTAATAATTTTCGGATAAAATACGTTTCTATTAAAATATTTTTCGGATAAAATAATTTTCGTAAATATATTTTCGGATATTATATTTTCGGCTGAAATATTTTCGGCAATAATATAGCCCCTCGATTATAAGTAAAATTATTCACACTGTAGTACAGCAGACGCAGAATAGGCATTTTGTATTACTATCATATTCGTTCTATGTAGTAGCCTGTAGGACAATTATTAGTCGCTGTTTTATATTACGCCTCGGAGCACTATAGTTATTCGTATCAATTATACATATTATTATATTATTACATATATCCGATCTTATTATTATTTACTTTTAGCTTCTGTGTATCTGGTGTACTTCARCACTAAACTATATTCAGTAGTTATCTACTAGTTATCACTAGTATTACTATTAAAAACTTGGCCATGTACCTGCATACCACATTTATATTTGTATATATAAATCTATAATAAGTATTTAATTTTATAGAAGTGTATGGTACACCAATGTAAGCATTCAGTATACTTAATATAGACATATAGTATCATTTAAACATTTTTGTATGTATTTTTATCAATTTAAAAATGTTGAATACTATTTTAAAAGTATAATACCAAAAAAAAACCATCACTAATGGTATCACTAATCGGTAATGGGTAATTAGTGATTGGTTTCAGTAGGTAGTATAAAATTATAAAAGTAAATTATGACAACTACATACATGAAAATAAAACTTATTTAAAAAAAAACGAAATTTATTAAAATACTGAAATATTTCAGACATTTGAAATATTTCATTTTTTTAAATTTCATGAAATTTTCAAACACTACATACAATGTACTTTGTCCAATCTATATTAATTAATATCAATCAATTGCTAAGTTATATTCTAATTAAGTCTCTACTTGAATACCTTTAAGATAATTGAACCAAAACCGGGGTGCACCTAGTTTGCGTAGGTACATTTACTTAAATTACAACTCGTTTGCACACATTTTTACAACTCGTTAACGCATAGAATATTTCTAGTACAACCACTCGTTTTTACTTGGTTGTGTATGAATTTCTTCAATGGCCCTTCTCTTAACAGAACTTCGGATTATATATTTCTGTACTTCGTTCTGAGAATATTCACTGTGGTTATGTTCGTTTTTTATAGTTAATAATAATTGTACACTGAGTATTTAACGTAGCCATCGATTTACATTTTATATTGGTACACCGAAATAAAAAATTATCACATTTTAATTCTCTGAACTTTAAAAATTTTAAATTGTTAATATAAGTATATAGAAACAGACATTTTACCGCAATGCGTATAATACATATTCAATATTTCGTAATACATATTTCTATTTTCGTTACACGAGAGAATTTCTGAAACTAGATTTGAAAAAATACGTTATGATTTCAATACAACAGTACCTTCTAATTAGTTAATGTGAAATAAATATTGATAAAGTTTATCGAAGTAAGGAGCAGTCGAAATCATAGATAAATCCGTCAYTATCTACAATATGTTGTGCGCAATCGAGTCGTTCCTTATATAATATGTTGTGCGCAAACGAGTTACAGGTTTTAACTGGCAAATTTCAAATAGTGTGCAAACTTAGTTATAGCTTCAAAACCTAACTACACCGCAAAATTAGTTAACATAAAACTCGTATACAGGCCCGGATTGAGCCGGCGAGCTACCGAGAAAATCTCGATGGGCCGCGTAAAAATTTATATTATCTATATTATCTATCTAATATTTTGCGTTTTTTTTTAATAATATAACTGAAGTATACTCAGTAACTTAATATAATGTACCTATTGAATAGGTGATTTGCAAATGTGCTTTAGAGAAACAATTATTATTTAAAGCACATATACTAAAAGTAAAAAGAGTGATCATAAAAAATGTTTTTCGAATGGGCCGATACTTTGTTGAGGGCCGGTAAAAATTTAAAATCTCGGTGGGCCGAAAAGTCTCTATTCGGCGCTGCTCGTATATATGAATAAAGATAATTAAATACTTACTAAACCAATTCACTTTACTGACAAATTTTTGGTCGAACCAAAACAATGCATCACAATCAATCGTAAGTAGTCCCTTACCAACTGTATTAAATGTCACTTTTTGAATACGGGTTCGATCTCCGTTTAATGTGTGTTTTTCAAATTCGCATTTCTTATACACACGTATGCCTTGTTTGCGCAATTCGTTATAAACAGCATTTAAAATCTAATTATATAGGTAACATAGTACTTTTCAACCTACTTTATATACAATAAATCAGACATTTCAGATAAGTTATACTTACGAATTTATTAGTAATAAATGGGATGTTTTCTTTGGCTCGAGTCTCCACATAAACTATTCGAGATCTATTTATATTGGTCTCAAGAAGAACATTAATCACCGATAGCGATCCCAGGTATTTTCCATAAACGATAATGTCTATTAGTTGACAAAAATGTATTTATAAAGTCCAAGAAAGATCACTTAATCAATACTACAATACCAATTTAATAATATTAAAGTCATTTGACTTCAATTATGTGTCAACATAATAATTATTGCTTGCAAGATAAACTTTAATTGTATATAGATTTGTATAAATAATAATTGTAAATTCACTATTCAAATTGTTTTAATTCTAAGAAAGGTAAGAACTTTTTTTATTTATCTGATAGATAGCAAGGAGAAGAAAGCTAAATAGCAATATCTACATTTTCTTATATAGCTTTGACAGTTATAATGACGGAAATGTATTGCATCAAATTTATGGATTTTAAAAAGATTATTTTGGGCATGGACCAGTTGCGCTTAAAACAATATTTATATTTTAGGTCAGTATACCAATTGCGCCGCTTAAATTTTAGGTCAGTACACCAATTGCGCTACTTATATTTTAGGTTCGTTATTTTTACATGGACATATGAGTGGGTTAAAGCCATAGTGGAGTAAGTCACATTTTCGTAAAAATTGAGTTATGTATTGTAGGCATATTTTCAAATATCGATTTATTGAATGGCAAAGTGAAGTAAGTCGTAGCTCATAATCTCTACCACTAGATGGCACTACAATTTGAACCAGAAATATATCAACGGTTTCATTAACAGTTAAAGTGGTGTAAGTACTGTAAGTTGACTTACACCACTATGACAGTAAATGTTTCCTTATCATTGTTTTATATAGATTAATATAATCAATTAAATTATTTATACGTAGTTATGATTAGATACTGTCTTTTTCCGCTTGTTAGTGTCATTAAATGTAAAGTTTAAAAATTTAAGTTTCACGGTTTTGTATAATATTGTGATATAATTATTGTGATGGCAAATTCTGACAATTCTGAACTTAGTGATTCAGTAGATTTTGATGGTGATAGTAGTGACGATTATGTTCATGACAATGACGAGCTGTTTTCAGAAAATTCAGGTAAGTCACCTAAATATTTTTAATTCATAATTCATTATGTACAGTATAGTTTTTTAATAGTTTTAATAAATAAAGAGAATAGATGTTGCCTATATTAAAATTAATAATATAATTTCGGCTTTATTATATTTAGTCATTAATTTGTCTATACAAGTATTGAAGTATACCTGATTTATTATAATATATTTCTATAAAAATTTAAAATGATTGCATTGCAGTTTATTATASTACCTATTAGTTTATTTTAAATAACGTTATTTGCAACTTTTTTCTTTTACATTACGTATACGACATACGTTTATTGATAATATTTTCAATCATTAATTATTATAATTATTTTTTGATTTGGTTCGCTTATTTTTTTTTTCCGTTATAACTTTAAATATAACATTAAGTAGCTCTGTACAAAATTATTAAGTAGTAAAAATGTAGAAAAACGACATTTTTGCAGATAGCCACGATGGACCTGAAACTGATGTTGGACGTCGTTGGAGAAAACGTCAGAAGTATGGCAGTAAAGTGGAAAATCGTAAAAGGTGCCGTAATGCAGGTAAATCATATACGACATCCAAAAATAAAAAAGTAGATGGAAAGAAGTTTGAGAATATTGACTGTAAATGTAATAAAAAATGCTTTGGAAAAATACTCGAGGCATCAAAGCATTATAATTATATTTTTATATTTTTATGTATATTAATTATTTTTTATTGACGAGTATCTATGTGTATGATTTGGTATAGATTTATATTGTACAAATATTATTAATATTGACGTTCATTGTATAATTTTTTTTGTATTGACTGAAAGAATCTATTTATAATACAAATTTTTATATACTAGGTGTAATGTAAAATAATATTATAATTTATAAACCCTGAAAACAACTGAGCGCAATAAATTGGTCTATCGACCCAAAAAAGACAGAGCGCAATTGGTATATCCAGTGGCGTGCGCAGGGGGATGATGGGGGATATATCCCCCCCCATGGGCTTTTTTTTAGTCTTCTAACGAGTGGATTTTCGATCTCTAGTTCATCAACATAAACATAATACATTATGACATCCCCCCCCAACATACCAAATTCCTGCGCACGCCACTGGGTATATCGAACCAAAAAAGATAGAGCGCAATTGGTAAACTCCCATTATCTTCACCTTTTTAAATACCTGGATAGTGGGCATACCTAATTCTACTGAAAAAATTTATTTWTTTTTTTGAAACCTAATACAATACTATTAATATCTATTTATTTAGTATTGTTTTTAAATTTAAAATACTACAGAACTTTTTTTTGATGAAATAAGCAATACAATTTTATTTATTGCTCTATTATAGGCAATATTATGCACCTATTTAACTTGCATTCTTGTAATTAAAAAATTACCTTTATCATTATTTTTTATTAACTTGATATATTTATAAGCAAGGGTGACATCATGTTCAGAGTTTAATAAAAATAAATTTTCCAGTATGTTATTTTCATCGCTTGATCTGTAATAGGAATGTAACATCCAATAAAATACTATATACATGAATCAAATATTTTATACCATTTACTTGATGGAAGTATCAGATTTGGTTTCACTTTCCTTAGCACTGTACCCAAATTGTTCACCATATAATAAAAATAAATAATCATAATATACTTGTTCTTCCTCATTAACGGTTACGCATTTATCAGCTCTAAACAAAACAAGTTTTATATGTGTATTATTATTTATTGCTATGACTATAAATTATACGCTGGTAGGTGATATAAATAATAACCTAATAAATCGAAATTAACTCATCGTTTTTGCATCTGATTGTAGCACAATAACTATTTATTGATATTTAACTAATACTAACTAGGTACCTACAATAGCACACGAGTACATAATCCACTATAACTCATAGTTATATAATTTGTTTAGTGCTTGAATTTTTTTAATTTTTTGTTCTTAATATAAATTATGTAAATTATACAGACCTGTTAATTGTTGTTACTGTACCAGTGATAACATCCACAAATGATTTAAAGCCTATAGAAATCATGTATTCGTAATCATAGTGTGCTATTTTTGGAATCATTCGATTTTCCAAGTCAGTTAAGCTAAGTTGATATGGAGTACCACAGTCAGATATGAGTACTATGTTGTCAAATCTAATATAATAGCCAAGTGGGCTAAAAAAAATAAGTTAAATACAATTAATAAAAAGTAATCTAAAAACTGAGTTCATGAATAATGAACAATATTCCTAGATTTTCACAATTTATAATTCTATCGTTCATTCAGATTTCATGTGACCCACGAATAAAATTTATAATTTTTATAAGAAACAAACACTAAAATATTAAGGACTAGAAGCTTTGGATTAAAATGTTATTTGTTTGTAGTCATTTAAGATGTCTAATTAAATTTGTTGATATAACTAATAACTGTACACTTTTGTTTAAAATTAAATAAGATATATTAAAATAATTGTGGCCTGTGAAAAATTTTGTATTTATTTTTTAGCCCTCGAAATCAAAAGGGTTACCGATTCCTGGTATAGAAGAATACATTTAGAATAATTTCTAAACAGTTATCTAAAATCAATGCAGAAATTAAAACTGTTGGTGTATCTTCATTTAACGCCTACCTTATAGGATATTGGAACATATGATGGTTTAAGAGGATGTCAGCGCACCATTTGTTTTCTTTTTCTGGCTCACGCTCAACATAAACAAAACGCATTTACGCAGAATCATTATTTAAACGTTTTTAGGAAATATGAGAGTAAAATCACCCATTACAAAAAAATTTTAAAAAATAGGTAATAATATTTTTGAGCGAATAACATATAGAATAAGGAATATAGAAAAAGAGATAAAGGATAATATTTTTGAGGGAATGACATATCGATGTGTCTAAATATTGTCTCAAAACAATTTAAACATCATTTAAATTTATAATATTTTATTGTTATTTTATTTTGTATTTGACTATAAAAATAAACAAAAAATATTATAAATTGAAACGATGTTTAAATTGTTTTGAGACAATATTTAGACACATCGATATGTCATTCAAAATATTATCCATTATCTCTTTTGTAGTTGGTGATTACTTGAAAACATAGAAAAAATAAAAATGACTGTGTAAATGTGTTTTGTCTATTTTGAGCGTTGGACAGAGAGAGAAAATAGATAGTKCGCTTACATCCTTAAGGAGTAATATTTAGGCAATTAATATAGCTTGTAAATTTTTTGTGTTTTGCCAATATATTATGAGTATGGACACTAGAGTGTGTATAATCCGTTATCGCTTCTTAGTCTCTTAAGCGCACGAATACGTCAATACACCATGAACCATTTTATATATTTTTGTTTCCATAACTAAAGGGTGTCTCAAAAAGAACGCCGGATTTGAAAAGGCCGCCATTTTTGTTTTTTTTGTTGGCTGCGCTGGTTTTGATAGTTTTGTTATCTGTTATCATTGAGGTTTTGTGTTGAAAAGAGGTTTTGTGGTTCTTAGACTCTTAGTCATTGTTTATGTTGTATCGCAATGGAAAGGTACAGTAAAGAACAG